GAATTTTTTAGATTTAACATTTTCTTTGACAGATACATCTATTTCTTCCCTTGTATCTTCCACACCTTAGATTCTTTCTTCCATTTCTTGTAACCTATTGGTTATGCTAACCTCTGTAGTTCCTGCTTTCTTCCCGAGGTTCTTTCTCTCCATCATTTCTTCCATTTGTGTTGTTGTTGTTTTTTTTTTTTTAATTTTTCCATTTCTATCTTCAGGTCTTGAGCTATTTTGTTGGTTTCCTTCACCTGTCTGACTGTACTTTCATGTTTTTCCGTCAATTCCTTCAGCTGTTTGAACAATCCACTGTTTCTTTTATTTCATTCAGTGATTTAAGTATTTCCTCTCTAAAGGCCACAGACTGTTTGGCTGCAGCTTCCTCTATTTCTTTTCGTATTTTATTTGTTTCCTCTGTAATCTTCTTCGTGAGCATAGATGTTAGGTCATCTCCTTGAATTTCAATTATGCTGGGGTGTCTGGGGCTATTTGCCCCTGGATAACTGGGTTCTGGAGATGCCATATTGTTCTGACTTTTGTTGGTTGAAATTTTACACTGTCCTCTACCCATTGGGCTATCTTAGTTGTTTGAAGTTAGTTTCTGGTTGTTCCTGGACTCTTGTAGTGGAGAGAATCCCTTTGGCAAGGAGATGGTTTTTCCTGAAGGAAGCCTTTTCAGCTTTTTGGGTATAGTCACTGGATGGCCGGTGTTTTTCAGGAGTTGCTACAGCTTACCTCAGGCATAGAGACCTGGGTGGTAACTGTGGTCCTGATTAGTCAAGAGGGCTCTCCTCTCACCGGGAGAAGTCCTGGAGACAGCTGCCCTCCTTCTGGGTTTCTTGGTGTTAATTTAGTGATCAGCTGCTGTAACCTGTGTGTCCCGTGGTTTGGTCGGTTTTGTTAGCGATAACTGTTTGCCCCTTGGAGCAATATCTGGTGGTTGATCTCAGGGTTCCCGGTCTTTTATAGGTCTGAGTTTGGGGCTCTGTGCCCCAGAACCCAAGAGGTAATCTGTGGCGGGTGAGTACTGTTCTTCTGGTAACAGCTGGCTATCTGGGGCACAGCAGTTCCTTGGGTTGGGCCAGTCTGTGGGACCATTTCCGGGGATATACTGGGTTGCCTAAGTCTGTCCCCTTTACTTCGTTCCTTGTTCCTTGTCAGGGTTTCTCCAGACAGTGACTCTAAGACTCTGGTGTCTTGGGGCACACACAGTTCTGTCTGTAAGGAGTAGTTGGTACAAAGCAGGCCTCTGGGCTGGCGGCGAGTGTGCCCGCCTGCTAGTCTGTGGGGGCTTGGTTCCCAATATCTCTGTGCTCCCTGCTTGGGCCCAGATCTGTGATGGCTGGGTGTACTCGCCTGTTTGCGATCTGTGGTCTGCTAGATTTACCCCAGGCAAAGTCTAGGTGACCCCAGCAGCACAGTTTCTTCCTTCCCTGTGGGGCCCTCTCCGGGCATGTGTTCCCAATCCCTGTTGCACTGGGGCGCGAAGCTCGTCTGTACTGGTGAGCTGGGCTCGCAGCTGGTCAGGTTACCCAAGCAGCCCTGTTTCTTCCTTCCCTGTGGGGCCCTCTCTGTACAGGGATCCCCAATCTCTTTTGCAGTGGGGTGCGCAGCTTGTCTGTATTGGTGAGCTGGGCTTGCAGCTCTCAATGCGGCTGGAGCTCAGTTGTGATGTTGGCGGATCCGTCAGACCTTCCAGGGAAAGACTGGGTGATCTTTGATCAGATTCACAACTTTTTCCCGTGGGGTTTTCTTGCGACTGGGACTCTCAGTCTCAGGCACCCTTTTGCCCACAGCCTGGGAAAGTGATTGGGACACGCAGGCTTGCGGCTCCAGCCCGGAGACCCAAAGCCTGCATTACCCGGGATTTCTTCCGGGTTCTGGCTGGGCATCCAAGAGTGGACCCAACTGATTCCCACGCCGTGGGAGCCTCCCCTCACCTGGGAAACAGGATCGCTGCAGTTTTAGGGCCCAGAGTTCAGTCTCCAGGTCGCTGCATGGAGAGTGCTGTCCAGCTTCTCAGACACAGTGCTCTCCTGGCACCGCCATCTTGTGTTGTTTCTTAAAAATTTGATTTCTTCTGTCAAAGTTGATCCTCTATTAGTTACTTCATACCATATAAAACTTTTTTTTTTTTTTTTCAGAATGCACTTGCGTGGGAGACTTCATTCCACAAGTAGGTTTTGACACCTTTTTTGAAGATGGCTGTGTGCCTGGGTGGACACATGAATATCATTTGTCCAATACCATGGAGAAAGCACAGACTGATGAGTGATATTGCTGGTTGTAGAAATACTGACAGGCTATGAACTTATGATTTATTTGTGCTTGGAATGGCATATGGCCTATTAAAAAGTTATCAAGATAACCAGGTTTCCAAATTTATTCGACACCCCAGACCAATAAATGAATATAACTCAATTTCCTGAAATCATAAAGAACTGAACACCAGCGTTGTGAAGGTGACAGGCTCCTAGGTTCTTTTATGGTATTGGGAAGAGAGGGCCATTGGAAACTGATAGAGGGCAAACGAAGAAACAGCATCTTTCAATGTTCAGCCCAGACATAGATGCAAGCTGACATGTGCTGTCATAAGTGAAGACTGTCCCTATGTCTCCACTGCAGCTCCATGCCTTTTTCTCCTCTCTAATTCAAGCTGCCAGCAGCTAGTAATTGAAAACATCCACCCACAGTATATATACACAGAAATATACAAGAAAAAGGCACCAAAACTTTATAAAACACTCACTGTTATGATACTGGGGGTTCAGTGTTTATGTACTAACGATTCTGTGCGTGTTGTTGCATGCATAGAATAGAATTGCTTCCTGATACATAGTTTGGGTGTCTCTCATGAAGCTTTTCTAAAGTACTGTCATTTGACCTCCTGGTTTGTGTGTCACAGAACAACAAACACATAACTGCCAACTGTCCCGAGGGCTTCAGCATGGCTCAAGTACTTGGACAGAGAAAGCTACCACTGGAAAAGATCTTGAAGTTATCACAACTTTGTCAAGATCAAGTTCTCATCACAAACTAGATTTATTTGCCCAAGAGGGACAAAGGACCACCTTTGGATAGAGAAGGGACAGATGTATCCCACTGACCAATAACAGTTCATGTAAGGAAAGGAAGAAGCCCTTTATTAGCATGAGTTGGTTTGTTTTGATTAGGCATGTTAATTAGGATAGTCAAAGGCGTTTTTTTTTTTTTTTGTGTTTTTTTTTGTTTGTTTTTGTTTGACTTCAATACTTTGCTAGTTAGATCTTGCTGGTCAGTCTCAGCGTGAAGAAGTGGCCAAATAAGGGAGTAGACCTTAGTGGCCGGCTTTAGGAATATAATTTAACAGTTTAGCAAGACTGAGGGAATGAGGAAAGGCCAAAATTTGCCAAAGCCATATGTGCCATGCTCAGGCCTCCTAGGATACTTCAATTACCATTTGCCTTCCAAACCTGCTTCCAGCTTTTGCTTATCTGTGTCCACATATTACCTATCCTTAGGTTCAAGGACAAGGTCAACCTACCACATGTAAAAGGAAATTGATTTTGCAACATATGGGATATAGGACAGCTAGCATTGGTCTCATGAGAGTGAGGAAACTAGCCCTGTCCCTCACGTGCTTGCAATACTCAGGAGAATGGGTCCTACACCCTGCTGGGCAACAGAGTAGAGCTGGCCCTGGTTGTAGGGACTGCCTGTGAGCCAGACCTGAGAGCATGATTGCAGAGGAGCAGGTCCAGCCCCTTTCTTGTTGCTGCACTTGGGAGAACAGACCCTGTACTTCCCCTGGGAAACACAGTAGAGCTGGCTCTGATAGCATGGGTGTGGATGGGGCAGCCCTGAGGGTGTGAGAGCTGGAGAGCCGGCTCTGACCCTTGCTTGCGTTGGCTGTGCCAATTGGCACAGGGCAAGATCTCTTGCCCAACTGGTGTTGGTGTAGGAGAGCTGGCAGGCTGCCCAGCTCAGATATCTGTCAGTTCCAGATCCAGGGCTTTGAATTGTTCCACTTCAGCATCATCCCATCAATGAACTTCTGGAGTGCATGAAGGGACAGGGTCCGACAGATCCAAAACAACAGTATCTCCATGACACAGGTCAACAACTGTATATCCAAAAGGAGTCATAGGAAGGTTCTATTATTGTTAGTGTAGCAGAAGCCAAAGGCCTAGTGCCAAGCCAATGACTGATTGCTATGAACATTTGCAAGCAAAGAAGTGTAGACAAAGGTTATAATATTAGAAACACCGTGACAAGTATAGTTTCCACATGATTTTTTTTTCTTTGCTTTTGAGGGAAAGGTTGCAGGGGTAGAAGGATGATATGAGGGAAGATGGTGATCGGAGGATTAGGGTACAAGATGTGACATTTACAAAGAACCAATAAAAAGCTTTTAAAAAGAGAGAAAACTGCTTTTATACTACTTGTGTTGCCTGCCCGTGAGTGGGGGAACGTCACTGTTCTTGCTTTCAGGATTACGTGGAGGCATAATTACATAAGTTAGATACAGATCTGTCATATGGGAGAGTCTTCATGGCCTGCTGCTGATGCAATCAGAAATTCATTTCTGATTCATATTCTCTCTTTGCCCCACTTCAGGTCAAGATTATAATGGACCAGAAACAGATACAAGTATATGAAAGGAGGAAGGAGGCAAACTGAGGGTACACACCTTGAGAGGCGGCTCGTGAAACACTTTTCATGCTTTATCATAATTTTTTATTAATTTTAATTCAATTTTATGCATTTTCTTTATAGGAGGAACCACCATTTTCCTTGAAACTTGTAGATTAAAAGATAAGCCATTGCACTCATAAATGATTTCCCCACCACCAAATTAAGGGGCAAGCATTCCAGAAATTTAATTAAATACTCTTAGTCCAATTTCTTCAGTATGTCTTGAGTCTCCTTCATTTATCACATCTTTCTCCTCTCCTATGAGCAAGGCTCAGAGATTTCAGGGCATACTCTCTTTCTTCCAGTCTTCCTTTCTCTATTCTTCTCCAGCATCACTGTCGTGGGATGGCACAGATGCGGTAGTTGACTGGGGAACAGGCGAAGCTCCTTTGGAATTTCAGACTCAGCTTCTCATTGATTGGGGCCTTGAAGGTAAATTTTTGCATAAGAACAGTGAAGAAAATGAACAGCTCAGACCTGGCCAATTGTTCTCCTAGGCAAGCTCTCTTTCCTGTGAGACAAAAACAGCAGATGAGTCACTTTCTCAGCTGACTTTGCTGCATCATGGGACTGGTACCCCCCAACTTCCTACTGCAAATCCTGAGCTCAACCTGGGCCGATCATGTCTAATGTCTTCCTGATTTAGCAACTGGAGCCTGATTCAAACTGGTATTTCCTGACCTTTGGCATAACAATATGTCTCAGTCTTTTGTTTTCACTTTGCCAGCACAGAAAATTTCATTTTCCCAGGTGTCCTGGGACCTTGCATTGAATACTGATATGTAGAAGTGAGAGCTGGGCAGAAGGCGTTCTCCAAAGTCTACGAAAAATTGCTCTACACTATATACACACCATCTATCGGCTCACAACTAATGCATAGACACACTGCATATTCATCAACCTGTTTATATAAACACATATATTTGGGTCTGAATCCATTGTTCTACCCAACTTTTGTCAGTCTCTCTATTGAATATCTGGGTTTTCATGGGTGATCTCTGATGACTGAGAAAACCCCAGTACTCCACTGTTCTCTTCCTCAGTGAATGACCTCATCAAACATCCCCACAGCGCTTCAGCACTCCATCCAGTGTCTAACTCATCTTAAGACCCTGTGTGTAGATGTGTTGTGTATATGTGTTCTCTTTTTGTATTTATATGTGTGTGGAAGCCAGAGGACAGACAAGGGTGTTGATCCTCAAATGCCATACCTCCCACCTTTTTAAGTTACTGTCCTAACTCTTTAGAACTTGCCCTGAAGGAGAAGCCACTGAGTCCCAAGAAAACCTCTGTGCAAGGGCTAGCATTATAATCACAGGTCGCTCATGCTCCAATTATTTTTCTAATCTTTTAAATGTATTTTTTTTAATTTATTACATTTTATTCACTTTGTATCCCAGCTGTAGCCCCCTCCCTTCTCCTCTCCTAATTCTGCCTCCCAACCTCTTCTCCCATGCCCCTTCCCCAGTCCACTGATAGGAGAGTTCCTCAGCCCCTTCCATCTGAGCCTATCTATGAGGTCTCATCCAGACTGGCTGCATTGTCTTCCTCTGTGGCCTGGTAAGGCTGCTCCCCTCACCCCCACAGCAGGAGGTGATTAAAGAGCCAGCCACTGAATTTATGTCAGAGACATTCCATGTTCTCTGTGATGGGGAACCCACTTGGAGACTGAGCTGACATAGGCTACATCTGAGCAGGGGGTCTAGGTCCTTTCCATGCATGGTCCTTGGTTGATTGATTCATCAATCTCTGCAGGTCCCCCTGGGCCCAGATTTCTTTTGGTTATTTTGGTCTCCTTATGGAGCTCCTGTCCCCTACAGGTCTCCTCCCTTTTCCATACGATTCTCTGCACTCTGCCCAAAGTTTGGCTATGAGTCTCAGCATCTGCTTCAATATCCAGATGGGACCAGAGTGTCTTAAACTCAAAGATTTGCCTACCTCTGCCTCTGTAGTACTAGGATTAAAGATTCCCTGCACTCTGCCCAAAGTTTGACTATGAGTCAGAGTAGTGAATCAATGGAATCAAATAAGACCCAGAAATAAATCCACATACCTGTGGATACCTGATTTTTGACAAAGATGCCAAAACCGTACAATGGAAAAAAAATAGCATCTTCAACAAATGGTGCTGGTCTAACTGGATGTCGTCATGTAGGAAAATGAAAATAGATCCATACTTATCACCCTGCACAAAACTAAACTCCAGGTGGATCAAAGACCTCAACATAGAACCAGAAACACTAAACTTGTTAGAAAAAAAAGTGGGGAAGAGCTTTGAACTCATTGGCACAGGAGACAACTTCCTGAACAGAACACCAATAGCACAGGCTCTAAGATAAACAATAAATGAGACCTCATGAAACTGAAAAACTTCTGTAAAGCAAAGGACACTGTTGCCAGAACAAAATGACAGTCAAAGACTGGGAAAGGATCTTCACCAACCCTATATGTGACAGAGGGCTAATATCCAGAATATATGAGAACTCAAGAAGTTAAAAAGCAACAAAACAAGTAATCTAATTAAAACACGGAGTACAGAGCTAAACAGAGCATTTTCAATAGAGAAATATCGAATTGCAGAGAAATGCTTCAAGTTTTTTTTTTTTTTTTTTAAGGTGAGTTTTGGAGACCAAATTATTCTCTCCTTCTAAGGCAAGCACTTTACCAGGTGAGATATTTATTCTGGCACCAAGTACTGTCTTTCTTTCAAAATAATACATTTTTTTTTGATTGAAAAAACTTAAAAAATTCAGGAAAGAAAAGGTATAAACTATAAAAAAGTTGCTTAGACAAGCAGTAAGGCAAACTTCTTTTATAAGAATTGCCATGGTCATAGCATCTCCTCACAGCAATAGAACTGCAACTCAGTTACTGTCTTGAGTGAGAGATACCTAGAAAACTGGGTTCTGTCTGTGAGATCATTTCAGAGATGTCATGGCCATCACATTCTAACTTCTTCAGCCTCTAAACTTGGGCTCTGACCAACTCCTTAGGAGACTTTCAGGATTTGTGGTATAGGTACCTGCTGCATTATAGGTACCTCCTAATTCAAGGATTTTAGGTTTTATTTTATTTTATTTTTGAGTGGGAACCACTTGTTATCCACTTCTTTTACCCTCCCGCTTGTTGAAGGTCATTTGTCACTATGTACTTGTGAGTGTGTAAATAAAAATAGTAATATTAACACATTGTTGACAGCATCTGCCCCTACATCATCCTGACAAATGTTAGTGTCAGAGCTCATGCTAGGGAAGAATTTCTTTCTGTTTTTCTTTTTTGTAGCCTTCCTCTTTTCTTATTTCTCTTTACTAATGGCCCAGTTCATGTGGAAAGCAAATGGTCCTGGGTGTTATATGAAAGCAAGCAAAGTAAGCCATGGGAACAAGCCAGCAAGCCTAATGTTTCCAGGGGATTTCAAGGACCAAGAAGGACTGGAATTCTGGAGTAATTGGTAAGGTAAAGCTTACGTTTTAACTGTCCCCATCCCCGATACGAGTGAGAGCACAGCTGTAGCCTTCATTTATGTGTCTGTAATAACACCATCGAAGAGCACATATCTTCAAAGATGCATTTTCACTGCTAATATCTGGTCTTTCTCTGGAGAATACAGTTACTCCACTGGGAAAGTTGAATAATAACAGTGTTCACCCAGGCTATATAAACTGGATGTGTATTGTTTAGTTTTTGTTCATTTGTTGTCAAGGAATTCCATCTACAGAGTTGTTTACCAGCTGGGACACTGTTGGGGAGTGGTTGATAATTAAATAGCTGTGTGTGTAAGGTAGGTCATTTGAGCCATGTCTGTAATGGAATGTTTCTGATCTGGTAGCCAGCTTTCTTTGCTTTCTGGCAATCATCAGGTGGCCACATTATTCAACCAAACACTTCTAATAAAAGCCCTATGCCACTTCAGACAGAGGCCTCATGGCAAGCTGACCATGACAGTGAGAGTGCTGAAAACATGAGCCAAACAAAACTGCCTCCATTGTGTTGTTCATCTCAGGTATGGTTTCAGGGAGGGAAAGAAACCCTGCCTGGGCTAAAGGCTACTTGAACACGTTCCCTCTCACCAAAACCCAGAAAACTCTAGCCACTCTCGGTGTGTTGCTGTTTCTGTTTTCCAGCTGGTATGGACAAGAGAACAATTGAAAGGTGCTACATGAAGTTCACATAGGAAAAAACATTTTGCAGTATGACCAGCATGCATGTATGCAGACTTTATTGGCCTAGAGAATCACCTTCCTATGAAATCCATGGGGATACACTAATAATCATTTCACTGCCGTCCTAGTAAACAACACAGAAAGTGCTTATGATAGATGTAAGAAGAGTCATATATCTAGACTTTTAAGGTCAGATTCAATAACTTAAAGTAATTACAATAATGAAATACATAGCTGAGGTTTTGAGCTATAATAGAAATCTTTTTAGTTTTTTCTTGCACACAAAGATTGAACAGATCTTCTGTATTCTGCCAGACTTCATACTAAAGTTAATTCTAAAATGCCAACAAAGTTGGCTCAGAAGCACAAGAAAAGGCAAAAAGAACAGGAGATCCATCCAGACACCACCAGGGAATCCCAGAATTCTACAGATTTACTTCTGTTTAGTATTTAGTAACTGTCACCTTTTGGAGACAGTTAGGAAACACAAGGTTCAGTGTGAGAAAATGTAGTGGACACTGACCTCTAGCTACAGCACAGTTGACTAGGTCTGTGTCCACATCTGTGCAGTGCTCACTGATTCCAACTTGAAAGGCTGCAGTGGGACACGTGCTCCAAGGGGCAGCTCTGCCTATTCATCTACCACACTACTCTCTTGCTCTCATGTGTGTGTCTGACATGTAATATATGCTCAGTATGTTATTTTTGGGACTAAGGAACTACAAGATTACTTGTAAATACAGGTGCAATGCATGAAAAGCCAATAACTAGAATTAAGAGGGCAATTTGTTAGTATTTTAACAATTTTAAGATTATAAGTATTTGTTCATGATTGGCTGGAGAGTAAACAAGAGTGTGGGCTGTCACTTCAAACCCATAACTGACTCTTAAGTTGCAGGATGCAAAGCATCTAACTAGATTTTTACTTTGTTTTGTTTTGTTTACTTTCTTGTTTTGTTTACATGGTCTTTTGGTTTTGTGAGACAGGGTTTCTTTGCATAGACATGGCTGTACTGGACTTACTTTGTAGACCAGGCTGGCTTTGAAATCACAGACATGCAGCTGCCTCTGCACTTTCAAGTGCTGGGATTCCAGCCATGTACCATTGTGCCTGGCTCTAACTTTAATTTTAAAAGAATGCTAAAATAATAAAAAACAAATGATTTACTTGTTCTAGGAGTTCTTGTATATGACACAACCCTATCCATTATGCAAACCAGTGTTATTAAACTTTTTATTGACATTGTTTAATATCCACATTGTAGTGAGTGTGTAGCCACACTCCCATGACTCGTACCCATCTCATTCAAATTTGAGTTATTTTCCTTTGAGGGATCATCACAAAAAATAATTTAAATACTTATAGAATTTGAAAAAAATTGCATGTATTCAGATTTTCTTTTTTATGACAAGTGGTCAGAGATATTGTGTCTCAGTTTCTAGTGTTGTAGAAAACAAAACAATGAAAGCCAAAATTTACAGCAGAGGCAAAGGAGAACATAACTGATAGGAGTGGTGTAAAGCAGTGCTAAGGCCAGAGAACATTTGGATGCAAAGTACACTTCAGAGATGCACTGGGTGGGGTCATATGGACATGTTCAAATATGAGTGAAGGTCTCTAGGCAGAAAAGAAAAGGAGTGATTAACATAGAATTCTGACATGTTTCCTTCTAATTATTACTCACCCATTGAGAATGGCAGAAAAGATTCTTTCTTCTTAAACTGTCCATTCTCCAAAAAGTGCTCTGGATTGAAGATGTCTGGAGTGGCCCACTCTTTGGGATCCCTATGCAGAGCAGTCAAATTGGGCAGGATCATGGTGCCCTAGAAAGGACAGCAGAGTCAAATTTTGATGTGTGGAACAAACCCAGACAAGAGATGAAGGTTTCTAATATGATACTCCTGTTATACCATCAGCTCCCCACAAACTCCTATCCTTAGTTTATATCTACGATGGATAAGTGTGTCCTTAAACTATTCCATGGCTATGAGACTTCTTTTCATTATAAATTGTAGGTTTGTTGGAAGAGGTCAGCATGTGATAATGAGAAGACATGTGACCAACCCTGGGAAGATAATGGGACAAGGGGTGAATAACCATCAACCTACCTACTTCCTACAGTGAGGACTATGGATGGTCTGCAAAAGAAAATGTGCCTTCCATCCTTGCTTCTCTCTTCTTAGCCCTCTGTATTGAGCTTCTGAACTGAGTCACTCAGCAGGACTAGGAACACATCAAGCACACACAGTAAGCAAACGCAGTCCTTCACACTTCTGGCATAGTGCCAGAACTCCCCAGATTGGGCCAAACCCTCCTGTACTTTCTATTGGAGAGGTTTTGCTCTTAATGTAGGAAACAATCTTATCACCTGCATTAATTTGCATCTCCTTTTGTCACATAGTCCATAATTTCAGTTTCTCCTTTGAAATCCCCATCTATAATTGCTGGATGTACAATGAATCTTTGGAAAGTCAATGAACTTCTTCCCAAGATTATCACTACTGTACATGAGGACAAAGGACAACAAACTCCAGCAGTTATTTTGTAATATTGAAGTTTTGGGGATATGGTAAGAAGTATATCTGTGGCCAAATCTAGAGAATCACTGCCTACTGTAGCACGCATGTGATTGGCAATAATTAGTTGCAGTTTTTCTGCCTTCTTTTATTTCCTTGCTGACAAGAGGAAAATCACTCTTAGACCTATACTCACTGGCCCAATGGTTTCCCTTGCTACAATGCCTGCATACACCAGAAAGTTTGGGCGTTCTTTCTGTTTAATATTTAGGAACACTATTGCTCCTAGAAAAGGTACATTCACTTTTCCAGGAGAAAGTACCATATTTCTCACAATGAATACACATTGTATGAAAAATACGCAGAAGGCAGATCTGAGACCTTTAGTGGCCTGGTGAGTTTCTTTGCAAAGGACCAAATTTTCCACAACTGAAGCACCAGGCATTTTGATATTTAGCAATAGCTTCTCCTATGATATTAGCATGGTAATCCTGAGAACCAAGATTAGCTGTATCCCTTACCCACTCATCAATTAGTATGGACTCTGCTTTTAACAGTCTAAAAATACTTTTACATATGGTATTCTCATTCTCAGATGCATGGGTCTTTATCAATGCCTGCCTCTCATCAGGGTCTGATACAACTTTGTTTATAGCTGAAACCAATCTTTGCAAAAAGTCAGTGAAGACTTCTCCAGAGACCCGTACAATCTTAGTAAATGATTTGGACCTTTTACTGGGCTTCAAAACTTTGACCCAAATTTGTAAATTCACTAAGCAACACTGTCCTGTAGTGGGGTCATTATATCACATCCAACCACTCTTCACTTGGCAACTTATCTTTGACAATATTTCTTCCATTTGTTCTATTTCACTGTTCAATATTTGCAGCTTCTTCCCTCCACTATGTTAACCATTGTGACTGGTGACCAGCCTCTAGAACAGCTGTTATAACCCCCTCCAGTCTCGGGAACAATTCTATTTTGAGCCCAGTTACTTAGAATTGTTTTACATAAGATGAATACATCCATAAGAAATCATGGCCTCGGGGGAGCCAAGATGGCAGCACCAGGAGAGGACTGTGTCTGAGAAGCAGGACAGCACTCTCCGTGAAGCGACCAGGAGACTGAACTTGGCCATAAAACTACAGCCATCGTGTTTCCCAGGTGAGGGGAGTCACCCACGGCATGGGAATTAGTCAGGTCCACTCTCGGCTGCCCAGCCAGAATCTGAAAGAAATCCCGGGTAATGCAGGCTTTGGGTCTCCGGGCTGGAGCCGCAAGCCTGCATGTCCCGAACGCTTTCCCAGGCTGATCGGTGGGCGCAAGGGTGTCTGAGACTGAAAGTCCCAGTCACAAGAAAACCCCACGGGGAAGCAAAGTTGCGAGTCTGGTCAAGGGTCACCTAGTCTTTCCCTGGAAGGTCTCACGGACCATGGGTACCCGCCAAAATCACAACTGAGCTCCCGCCGTGCAGAGAGCTGCGCGCCCAGCTCACCAATACAGACGAGCTGTGCGCCCCAGTGCAAAAGAGATTGAGGATCCTTGTCCGGAAAGGGCCACACAGGGAAGGAAGAAACCGGCTGCTTGGGTCATCTGAGGGGCTGCGCGCCCAGCTCACCAGTAAAGACAAGCTGTGCGCCCCAGTGCAACAGAGACTATGAACCCCTGTCCAGAGAGGGCCTCGTAGGGAAGGAAGAAACCGTGCTGCTGGGGTCACCTAGACTTTGCCTGGGGAAAGTCTAGCAGACCACAGATCGCAAACAGGCGAGTACATCCAGCCATCACAGATCTGGGCCCAAGCAGGGAGCACAGAGCTATTGGGAACCCAGTTCCCGCAGACTAGCAGGCGGGTGCACACTCTGCCAGCCCAGCAGCCTGCTTTGTACCAACTACTCCTTACAGACAGAACTGTGTGCCCCAAGACACCAGAGTCTTGGAGTCACTGTCTGGAGAAACCCTCACAAGGAAAAAGGAATAAAGCAAAGGGCACACTTAGGCAACCCAGTATATCCCCGGAAATGGTCCCACAGACTGGCCCAACCCAGGGAACTGCTGTGCCCCAGATAGCCTGCTGTTACGAGGAGAACAGTACTCACCCGCCACAGATTACCTCTTGGGTTCTGGGGCACAGAGTCTCAACCTCAGACCTACAAAATACCGGGAACCCTGAGATCAACCCCCAGATACTGCTCCAAGGGGCAACCAGTTATCCCTAACAAAACCGACCAAACCACGGAACACACAGGTTACAGCAGCTGATCACTAAATTAACACCAAGAAACCCAGAAGGAGGGCAGCTGTCTCTAGGACTTCTCCTGGTGAGAGGAGAGCCCTCTTGACTAATCAGGACCACAGTTATCACCCAGGTCTCTATGCCTGAGGTGAGCTGTAGCAACTCCTGAAAAACACCGGCCATCCAGTGACTATACTCAAAAAGCTGAGAACGCTTCCTTCAGGAAAAAAACATCTCCTTGCCAAAGGGATTCTCTCCACTACAAGAGTCCAGGAACTACCAGAAACTAACTTCAAACAGTTAAGATAGCCCAATGGGTAGAGGACAGCGTAAAAGTTCAATCAACAAAAGCCAGAGCAATATGGCATCTCCAGAACCCAGTTATCCAGGGGCAAATAGCCCCAGACACCCCAGCATAATTGAAATTCAAGGAGATGACCTAACATCTATGCTCATGAAGAAGATTACAGAAGAAACAAATAAAGTACGAAAAGAAATAGAGGAAGCTGCAGCCAAACAGTTTGTGGCCTTTAGAGAGGAAATACTTAAATCACTGAATGAAATAAAAGAAACAGTGGATTGTTCAAACAAACAGCTGAAGGAATTGACAGAAAAACATGAAAATACAGTCAGACAGGTGAAGGAAACCAACAAAATAGCTCAAGACCTGAAGATAGAATTGGAAAAATTAAAAAAAAAAAAAAACAAATGGAAGAAATGATGGAGAGAAAGAACTTAGGGAAGAAAGCAGGAACTACAGAGGTTAGCATAACCAATAGGTTACAAGAAATGGAAGAAAGAATCTCAGATGTGGGAGATACAAGGAAAGAAGTAGATGTATCTGTCAAAGAAAATGTTAAATCTAAAAAATTCCTGACACGGACCATCCAAGAAATTCAAAACAACATAAAAAGACAAAACCTAAGAATAATAGGAATAGAGGAAAAAGAAGGTTCCCTGCACCAAGGCCCAGAAAATATCTTCAACAAAATCATTGAAGAAAATTTCCCCAACTTAAAGGAGAGGCCAATAAGAATACAAGAGGCCTATAGAACACCCAATAAATTAGAACAGAAAAGAAAATCCTCCTGCTACATAATAATCAAAACTGTAAGTATACAGAACAAAGAAAAAATATGAAAAGCTGCAAGGGAAAAGGCCAAGTAACATATAATGGCAAACCCATTAGAATCACACCTGACTTTTCAACAGAGACTATGAAAGCCAGAAGGGCCTGGACGGATATCATGCAGACCCTAAGAGAATACAGATGTCAGCCCAGGCTACTATACCCAGCAAAACTCTCAGTCCTCATAGACGAAGAAAACAAGATATTCAATGACAAAAACAAATTTCAACAATACCTACAAACCCAGCATTACAGAAGACACTAGAAGGGAAAATACAACCCAAGAAAACTAGCTACATCCAAGAAAACACAGGAAAAAATAACCCCACTACAGTAAAACAAAAAAACAACCAAGCACACAATCATATGACCACAGCCAACATCAAATTCAAAGGATCTAATAGCCACTGGTCATTAATCTCTCTCAATATCAATGGACTTAATTCTCCAATAAAAAGACACAGACTAACAGAATGGATGCGCAAACAAAACCCAGCAATCTGTTGTATACAAGAAACACACCTAAGGCACAAAGATAGACATTACCTGAGGGTAAAGGGATGGAAGACGGCTTTCCAAGCAAATGGATGCAAGAAGCAAGCAGGAGTAGCCATTCTAATATCTGATAAAATAGGCTTTCAACCAAAATAAATCAAAAGAGATGGGGAAGGACACTTCATACTCATCCAGGGAAAAATCCACCAAGAAGACATCACAATCCTGAACATCTATGCCCCAAATACAAGGGCATCCACATTTGTGAAAGAAACATTGATAAAATTTAAACCACATATAGATCCCCACACATTGATAGTGGGAGACTTCAACACCCCACTCTCAACAAAGGACAGGTCAACAAAACAGAAATTAAACAAAGAAACAATATCTCTAACAGACGTCATGAATCAAATGGACCTAACAAACATTTACAGAATTTTACACCC